TATCATTTACCATAGGCTTCCATTAAAACTTTTTACTGCATCCTCCAAAGGACGTTCCCTATAAGTGGGTTTTTTAAATTTCAAACAGTCGCCATTTTTGCTAGGGTGGTCCTTTTGAGATGAAACTTGTGGCTCCTTACTCAGAAAGAAATGGCCTTTAAAATAATGTATCATTTACCATAGGCTTCCATTAAAACTTTTTACTGCATCCTCCACAGGACGTTCCCTATAAGTGGTAAAAAATTGCATAAGGCACCAAAAGATAGGTAAAACCATAGTATATCCGTACACAAAATATCAATAGTTGTTTTTCTTTAACCACTCACCAGATATAATCTTGGTTCCAGACATTTTCAACACCCTGTATAATAAATTATAAAACTAGTTTTTTAGTTATAAAATTATTTTTTATTATAAAATAATTTTTTAAATATGAAGTAATTTTTTAATCATAAAATTAATTGAACAATTTTTATTATAAAATTAAATTGTCATAACCTAACCTAACCAACCAAACTTGCTGATAATATAAAAAAGATACAAGATAAAAATTGAATGAAGGTTTACTTATAATTTTTAATTATAAAATTAATTTTAAAATGTTTAATTATAAAATTAAACTGCCATAACCTAACCAAACTTGCTGATAATATAAAAAATATATAAAATAAAAATTGAATGAAGGTTTACTAATTAAAAAAAAATAGTGCTATTCGTAAATAAAATTATAAATGCCTCAAATTCTAACAAAAGATGTTCAGTTGAGAAGTATTTGAATTCTAAGACAAATTTTTGACAAAAAGTTAGTGTCCCCGCCGGGATTCAATCTGGGGACCTCCAGAACACCAGTCCGAGACACCACGAACACCGATGGAATCATATCATCTCGTTATACGGTAATGGTGTACAATTAATTGGTATACAATTATATATTTAATTATAAAATTAATTTTTTAGTTATAAAATTATTTTTTTAATAATAAAATATTTTTTTAATATAAAGTAATTTTTTTAATCATAAAATTAATTTAATTATAAAATTAAATTGTCATTACCTAACCTAACCAACCAAACTTGCTGAGATAATATAAAAAAGATATGAGATAAAAACTAAATGAAGGTTTACTTATAATTTTTAATTATAAAATTAATTTTAAAATGTTTTATTATAAAATTAAACTGCCATAACCTAACCAAACTTGCTGATAATATAAAAAATATATAAAATAAAAATTGAATGAAGGTTTACTAATAAAAAAAAAATAGTGCTATTCGTAAATAAAATTATAAATGCCTCAAATTCTAACAAAAGATGTTCAGTTAAGAAGTATTTGCATTCTAAGACAAATTTTTGACAAAAAGTCAGTGTCCCCGCCGGGATTCAATCTGGGGACCTCCAGAACACCAGTCCGAGACGCCACGAACACCGATGGAATCATATCATCTCGTTATACGGTAATGGTGTACAATTAATTGGTATACAATTATATATTTAATTATAAAATTAATTTTTTAGTTATAAAATTATTTTTTTATTAATAAAATTATTTTTTTAATATAAAGTAATTTTTTTAATCATAAAATTAATTTAATTATAAAATTAAATTGTCATTACCTAACCTAACCAACCAAACTTGCTGAGATAATATAAAAAAGATATGAGATAAAAATTAAATGAAGGTTTACTTAAATAATTTTAATTATAAAATTAATTTTAAAATGTTTTATTATAAAATTAAACTGCCATAACCTAACCAAACTTGCTGATAATATAAAAAATATATAAAATAAAAATCGAATGAAGGTTTACTAATTTTTAAAAAATAGTGCTATTTGTATATAAAATTATAAATACCTCAAATTCTAAAAAAAGATGTTCAGTTAAGAAGTATTTGCATTCTAAGACAAATTTTTGACAAAAAGTTAGTGTCCCCGCCGGGATTCAATCTGGAGACCTCCAGAACACCAGTCCGAGACGCCACGAACACCGATGGAATCATATCGTCTCGTTATACGGTAATGGTGTTCCCTCAAGGAAAGAGTGACGTCATGCCCCCCACTCCTTCTCTAAAGAGGTTCTCATCCATTCGTGACTAGGAAAACGAGGCGCTATACAATTGTTCCCCCCTGGAATTGTACACCACCCAGGTGGCGTCACTGTCTCATTTTCTTGATCAAAACATTGCCAGCAAGGAATGTACCAAGGCGGGTCGGAGTTGTACCTCTTAATAAAACATTGATATTGGTATGCACTATTGGTTTCATTATATTCATCGGCATACCATTAAAAACTGGACGGCCCGCGGAATTGTCTCCCCTCATTTACAACGAGGCTTATTTGGTCAGTGTATGGGGTGTAATTGTATCCCCCTGGAATTGTACCCCCTCCCCCTGTCAGGATACATAGGTGCATATGTCATGGGACATATGACATAGGTCCCATTGCACTTAACCCTTAGGCCGGGGCTACACGGGGCGTATCGTCCGCGCGACAATGTCCCGGCCACACGGAGCGGATGAACCGCTTCCGGTTGGGGTTTCCCAGCCTACGTACTGTAAGATTAGAACAAGGTTTAATTAACTCGTTCTCATGGTAGTCATGGACGAAACATTTATGTTAGTTTGTGCATTAGAAGCGTGTGGTGAGCTAGAGCCTAAGGTTAACCGAAATCAATGGGTCCATCCTTTCACAACCGATAAGTTCCAAACCTTTTATGAGGACATGCAAAACCATAATTCAGAGTTTTTTTGGTTACTATCGCATGTAGATAGCATCGTTTGACGAGCTACTTCAATTGCTTCGACCGCATCATACAACTAAGGAAGATACACTCATGAGAAATGTACAACATGAAATACAACATGATAAATCCCACAGACATGGTTTGTCTTTATTAAGTTCTATTAATTTGTCTATATCGAACATTTTACACCTATAAACCGAAACGCACAAGCACAAACAAAAAAAAACAACTACAAATGCTTGAAAATGAGCTCCAACCGCGCGGACAATCCGTATCGTGTGGCCACTCTCATAAGACTACGTGTGTCATCCCCTCCAACGCGACTTATGATCACGTGGACAATCGACGACATGACATGGACAATCCGCCCAGGCGGCTTAGGATCGCCCCGTGTGGCCACTCTCATTTGATTCAATGTGTTGTCGGACCATGCGGATGATCCGCGCAGATCGTCCGCGCGGATAATCCGCCTCGTGTGGCCCCGGCCTTAGATATAGTTACATTAAATTATGAATTGTAAAAAAAAAAATAAAAAATTGGTTTGTTTGGACCGGAAGCAAAATAAAATAAAATAAAAGTATAGTTTACCAGTTTTCCTTCTAGGACTGGAAATACTCCCCTCGTGTGCGCAGAAAAAAATTATAATGTCAGGAATTGTTTACCCCCTTTTGAGTCAGACCTCTTAATGCTCTGAACATGAAATGGACGTGGTAGCAAGACCTATATAATGGGATGCTGATTTCAAACCTAATAAGAATTCAAAATTCAATTAAATAATAAATTAAATTAAATCCATCTGATCGCTATGAAACTCTGGAAAGTTGATCTATACACGGACGAGAAAGTTTTATTTCTACTTGAACTCCGTGAGGAATCCAATTTAATTTAAATAAATAGTAGAACTCACACATGCGACATAAGTCAAATATAAAAAAAAAATAGTTTACATTTACATAAGACACAAATATTAATATTTTCCCATTGTTACACTAAAGTTTAGGGGTTTTAGCCCAATTCATTCCACTGGGTTATGAGAAAAATATTACAAACAAACAACACAGACAAAGCTCATATTAACTTAAAGAATTGGATTCGCTACTATTTCATTTTAGCGAATTTTCCATTTAGGGAATAAGCTATTACCGTAGGTCTCATGGTAATACCTGGACTCAGGACCGATTTACTTTTACGTTTTGATGTGCCCAAAGACCAAAGACACAATCCGTTCCAATTCATATATATGTGTCCATTAGCACAATAACTCAAGCAAAAATGATCAGAGTTCGATGAAATTTGGTAAACCAGCTTGATTGGACCATGGGAATGGGGGGAATATATTGGGTAAAATTTAATTGGGGTTTTTCATTTATGACCCTCAAATCATGACCTTTTTAATTTCTTCAAACCATTTTGGAGAGCTTAAAACAACAAACAATTTAGTTAGTTTATTGAAGCATTTATGTACAGATATTAGTTACGGAAACAATTTTAAAGATTGTAAATTAAAAACTCCCATGTTATGCTTTTGGAGAATAAGTCAAACTATTTTAGTCTGCTTGTTAATAACTTGCTAATAAGATTTAATTGGTGGTAGATTATTGTTGCATTCTTTACAATTAAGTCAACATATCAATAACACACACTATCAATACACTAACACAATCGTAATAGACGGAATTATAGAATCATGATAATTAATTGTGTCGGTGGATTTAATTGGTGGTAGCTTATTTTAGTATTCTTGACAATTAGGTCAACATATCAATAACACACACTATTAATACACTAACACAATCGTAATAGACGGAATTATAGAATCATGGTAATTAATTGTGTGGGTAGATTTAATTGGTGGTAGCTTATTTTAGTATTCTTGACAATTAGATCAACATATCGATAATGTACACTAACACAATCTGACTAAACATCTGCTTATTTCCGTTTTAGCAAAATTGAAAACAATTAACTGAAATTAATGTTATTTTTCATGAAAAGTATTTTTGTTTTCTAACTTTCTTAATAAACCCCTCTCTCATTTTCTGGCTTCACAGAGCTCGGGTCGAAAATAGTCACTTTAAGCCCTGGTGATGAAATATACTATTATTGCCCTCCTGAAAATAGTTTCTACATTTCCTACTGTAAGAACTGAGTCATAGAGGATAGAAAGCTAATAACCTCCTTGGGATAGTTAATGCTCAAGCAATATAACACACAAGATAAGAGTGATATGGAATTTATTAAAGAAAATAAAAAAAATAACATTGAAAACATTTATTCAAGTTTTGAACAAAGTATTGATCTCATAAAATATATTTTATACAGGTACTATATTAACAATAAATAAATCTAAATTAGTATAAAAGACTAATTAGGCATTATAATTTAAAACATTTAATTAAAGCCACATGTATTGTTAATAATACAATATGTACAACATAGGTAATAGGACCTACAAAAACCTTGACTTTTGTAAAATCTAACGATAGAGTCTAAGTTGGTCTTCTAATTCTTCCATTGATGAAACTTGATATTTTTCTTGCTGATTTTGAAGGAGCTGGAATATTGCCTCTAACTGTTGCTTCTCAACTCTGAAAAAAACCAACAAAAATTAGTTTTCTAAATTTTCTTTAAGAATACATTTTAATGTAATTTATGAGGTTTATCAGAAGTATAGTCTTGGCCAAGCAAGCTGCTATTGGCAAGTTTACCTGAAATAGGAACTTTATCACAGAAGATGAATTATTCTTGATAAGAAAGCTTTGATCTTCCATCACAGTGTTATTAATATAACGGCTGTTTTGCCCTCTCTTTGCTTGGGTAAGCTTTTGACTAATAAAATTAATTTGTCACATGTGTAGCTGTAAAACTTTGGAAAAATCACTAGATTATGGAAATAAACTTCTAATTAAATTATAAACATGCCCTCGCTTTTTGAAAGTAGACAAGTGGGTAGAGTTACAGGGGAGGGGGGGGGAGTTAAATTGGATTTTTGTTACCCAGTTCTAATTGTTATAAAGAATATGTTTTTAATCAACAACAAAATTTGGTCTGAAAATTTAAAAGCAAGTTAAACTTTATAAGTAAATGTGTAAAATTATGTTTAACACATTTCCTACTCTGGTTAAGAGAGTAGAATGAGTGTTCCCTGCATGACTTACTATGCGTCCTTGCTAATCCAAGTTGTTGCGGAAAGCCATGATAACACACTAAGCACAATACGACATTTCTGTTTTCCAATTGACGGTGCCACCAGCTCCCGCTATGACAGTGAGACGTAAAAAAATACACATAAACCCGTGCGTAGACTTAATTTATGAAACTCACTAAGAAGGGGAGGTGTTCAAGATTCAAGAATTTGATAGGTGCATTAGGATTTCTAAAACAAATCTTTGCTAGATGCCCTATATTGGCGGTGGTATATGGTACAGTGATAACAGTGCAATAGTAGTGAGTAGAAACCGAAAGTGACACATTGGAAACCTCTGTTACGATCACAACAACATCTACGATCAAACTGTTGTTGTGATTTTTTACATCACACAAAAGCGCATTTTATTTGGAATTTAAAAGTCGAACAGACTTAAACATAAAGAATTCTGCTTCTTTTTTTATATTAATTCAACATCGAGGCCGCAATGAGTGGAAACCTCGTTTGTAAGCTATTGGAGACAATGATTAACAAATATAAGTTTCCCAGCCGTATTCAACACTGATTCAGGGTCTTTTTCCCGGTTATCAAAACTTGAGTACATTTTGATACACACACGCAGAATCTCCGGTTAAGGTTCTGAATGATAACAAGCAATTTAATTTCATATACAGTTACACATTATTGCACATTATTACAAAACGTGATCAGAAAGGTTGCAGTATTTGTACACAACATTTAATGTAAGCATATCAGTGACAGCTAGAAAATTAATCTTTATCCAAACAGCCGTTTGTTACTTCATAGATGTCGTAGTCTACAAACAGATATTACATTAATGACGTACCATATGTGGTAAACACTGGGAGAAAACTTGACAGAAAAAACGCGCAATATTGGGTTTTTGAACCTCAATTATTTTATTTCAAAAGTAGTGAGGCCATATTTTAATGGCTAAAGACACTGTTGCCAATCCAGTGAATACAAAAAGACTAGCCTATTTGAATCACAATCGATGCTCATGTTTTTCAGGAGAAGGCCACATAAAATGCCTTCTGGGCCGTGACAGACAGACAGACAGATAGACAGATATTGAGATAAGACTTGTTTAGGCTTCTTTAATTTATAAAACGTAAAAATAACAAAAAAACAATATAATTATGAACAAAGTTCAGACAGAACTCTAATTTTATTTGTATAGATTTTGTGAACCAGCAAGATTGGGTAACAGGAACAAAAGTGTTATAGGGTTTTTAGATTTTCAAAAATTGATTTGTTATAACTTTTACTAAAAAATCATGAAAAAATGCCTAATTTTTATTACAGCCATTGAGTAAAACTTAAAAATAAAATAAATAAAGCGTTGTTGAAGGCTTTATCGCTAAGGAGAAAATTCCAATAAACTGTACATTTGAAATTCCTTTGTTATTGGACTTGGTTAGTTACTTAGTTACTTGGTCATAGGTTTATTTTTATAAAATTTGGAAAAATTGATTTTTTTCCAGACCATACTATTAACATTTTACCAAACAGCAAGCTTTTTTCTTCAATGTAGCAAACCTTACTCATGAAACATAATTTTATTTAAATAGGGAATGATTCTGATACATTTAAGGAAATATTACAGTAAGAATACAATCAGACAAATGAAAATTCACCTTTCTGTGGGTTGCTGTGACAGGGTATTTTATCTTCAAAATTGATGCAAATTGTGCAAAATTGATGCTTAAGTTACATGGAATGGCTTTCTTTTTTCTTACATCGTCTTAACCAATACACCGTCTGTTATTACAGAAGATTAGTTCTTGAGGTTTTTTTTCAAATATGATCAACAAGTTTTCAAAGTACTTTGGAATAATATTCAAAACACTTTGATTATCATACTTGAAAATTAATAAATGGAGCCTCACAACTATTTAGGCCTATGTGTAGTATTTCTCAGTGAATTGACAACATCAATACATTTAATCAATTATTTCACACGTAGTATTATAAATAAACTTACTCCATTTCTTCCTCAAGTTGTTGCTGAGTCAAGTTTGCAGCTACTTCTTCTGCTAAGGAGTGTCTTTTCTTAATATGAGACATGATATTTTCATCTATTGAATCGTCTTTGCGTTGGGATTCCTGGAACAGTTAAGGAAGTTTAAATGGGGACTGTCTTGAAAAGTTATGAGCATTAAAAAATAAATTCACACCTCAAAGCATTTATAATATTCCCTTTTCGGAGCTTTATTTCAAGTCGGTCATCACTTGCAAATCACAAAAGTAGGCTATTATTTCAGCCAATGATCGGTGATTAGAGAGACAGTAGAAAATTCTATATTCTGTTTCTAGGTGACATGAGGAAGAAAATGCATACAACTAAAATGGTAATATTGGAATATGAAGATATAATACACGAATAATGACGCATGTACTGTTCTCAACGAACATGCCAATAAACATTATTGTCTATAGGCTATTGAATAAATGTTGTCTAATTAAAGTAAGTTATAATGACTTTTAAAAGATTCCCAACTTTTTGTCAATCATTTGCTTTCACTTCATTAATATTAACTTAAAGTTAGCCTATTAGCCTGCCACAGTGCAGTTTACTGTCTTTAAAGGAATTGGAGTGAACCTGTCATGGCTGGTGGTTACAACGATGATATTTGTCCAGTCTGTAAAACTACTGTTTGTGATGATGGAAAAGGAGTTTATTGTGAATTCTTCTGTTTTAAATGGTTTCATTGTGAGTGTGTGAATATAAGCAGTGAGGAATACAATTGTATGAGTCTGTTAGGTAACAAGTCCAAGTGGGCTTGCAGTGATTGTGAGGTTAAGTTTGACAAAGTCATCAAGAACGTTGACTATATTGAGGGCTTAATTGAGCTGAAATCCACAGTATTGAATTTGATTCAAATTGTTAAGGGAATAGCATCTGATAATATTGCTGTCAACAATAAACTAGACTCGATTCTTAACTCGCAAATTAGGCTAGTTGATCCTTTAAATAGGCCTAAGACTAATGATAAAAACTCTGATACAACTGGCACACTGTCTTCCACGGAGGTTGGCATTGCATCTGCTAATAGTTTGGAGCTAATAAACAGTGAGGTTGAGGCTAAGTCCTTTGCCCAGGTAACAAGAGGTTCAAGTAACAAGGCTGTTTCTGATTGTGCTTCCACCTCTGGACAACGTGTACTACATAAGCAGTGCTGAACAGTGGCAAACAGCTGGTAAGAAAAGACATTTAAAGCGTGATGGACTAAAGCCCAGTATTAATTCCAAGCATATTGGTTCCAATAAACAACAGTCTCTACAAATCATCGGGACCAATAAAACTCTAGACTCTACAAAGGTTCGTGAGGTAGGTAAACTTCCATCGATTTTTGTTTCCAGACTCGCCGTAGATTGCGTGAAGGAAGATATTTCTGACATTCTTAACAAATCTGGTATCCAGGGTGATGTGGTTCCTCTCAAACCTAAACACAATACCTACACTTCTTTTAAAATAGGCATTCCTGACAACCTAACCTCAAAAGTGTTGAATGAATCCTTTTGGCCAGAGGGTGCACTCGTTAAAGAATTTGTTACTAAGCCTAGATTTCAACGTAACTTTATAAACTCTCAACTTTGTAAGGGAGTCGGTAGCCAAAGTTGGCACAGCCCTAAACAACATGGAATTCCTAAACATTTGCTTACTATTTTTAAATGTCCAGTGTCTATGCTACACCCGTGTTATGGAACTTGAAATGATGCTCACTGATAACAAATACAAAATATTATGCTTGTCGGAACACTGGTTGAGTGATGAACATATTAAGCTTGTGAACATTAAGGGTTATTTTTATGTTTCAGCTTTTTGTCGTTCTCAACGCAGGCAAGGCGGAGTTGCTATATTTGCTTCCCAAGAACTTAGTGACTCATTTATTGTTATCAATGTAAATAGTTTTTGTTTAGAGTTACATCATGAGTTTGTCTGCGTTCATTTCCCGGCTATGAACATTGTCCTTATTTGTGTCTATAGGTCCCCTGATGGTGATCCAGGAATGTTTTTGTCTAGCTTTGAGAACCTTATTTTGTAGGCAACAAGAGGGCAAAAAACCATATTATCCTGGGTGGTGACATGAACATTAATGTGTTGAAACAAAACTGTTTGTCTGAAGATTTTATAAACTTGTTAAAATCACTGAATCTTTACTGTACTGTCTGGGTGCCGACTCATGAGAACTCTTGTCTGGACAATGTTGCCACAGATCTTCCTCGTGAAGATTTTAAAGTAGAGGTGGTGAAACATGCCATAGGTGACCATGATGGCATTCAGTTTAATCTCGGTATCCCTCTGTCCAAGAATAAAGATCCTTATATTGCTAGGACTTATCGACCGATTACTCTTGATAAAACATATCACTTTATAGTTGCTCTCAACTCAGTTGATTGGAATATTTTACTTGCGGGTAATGCTAATGTTATTTTTAGTAATTTTTTTAGAATATTTATTTTGCTCTTTCAAGAATCTTTAACTAAAAAAGTGTCTAGACCGAAGAATACAAAGCATCCACTGGCTCCAGAGTGGAAATCAGAGACTATTGTAGTATTGAGAAGATGGTTGCTTCTTTCTTACGATATTTATAGACAAGAAAAAACCCTTGATGCCAAGAGGAGGTATCAAGCGATAAAGAAAGATTACCAGGTGAGTTTAGTACGGTCAAAACAAGAATACAATGCCAATTTCATTGAGTCCTCTCAAAATTCTTGTGCTGCCGCTTGGTCTGTCATCAAAAAAGAGGGGGCCCCTGCAAAAGCAAAACCAACTACTAGACTTTCTGCTGAGGAGCTGAATGATTTCTTCATTAATTCTGTCCAACAGACTCGGGATGCAATTTGTTAGGCCTACCCCACCAACCCCCGCTGTAAACCTCCTAGCCCAGCATCCTAGACCAACATGTTCTTTTAACATTGAACCTGTCTCTTGTGAGAAAGTGCTATCTGTTGTACATAAGATGAATAGCTCTAGAAGTATGGATGTTTTTGATATCTCTGCAATCTTAATTAAGAATGTGATTTATCATATTGTAGTTCCACTCACCTATTGTATCAATCTTTGTATCAAGGAGGGCGTTCTTCCAGATGTCCTAAAAACAGCCAGAGTAGTCCCTGTCCATAAAAAGGGGAACCATGTGCCTGAAAATTTTAGACCTGTATCTATTCTCCTTGTGTTTGGTAAGATTTTTGAAGGTATAATTAAGGATCAAATGTTACCTTATTTTGAAAGTAATGGACTGCTTGTGTCAGCCCAGTATGGTTTCAGATCAGGCCGTTCCACAATCGATGCAGTTGAAGTTCTGACTGGGGTTGTTTTAAAATCATTTGAGAGTGGAGGCTTTGCTGGGGCCACGATGTGTGACCTCAGCAAGGCTTTTGACACCGTGGACCACAAAATTTTGCTTGACAAACTCCATTTTTATGGAGTTAGGGGTAAGGGTTTGGACTTACTGGGATCATACTTGGGCGGGCGCAGACAGTTTGTCTCTGTAAATGGTCAGTCCTCTGTTGTCAAATCTTTAACTCATGGCGTCCCACAGGGGTCTGTCCTTGGGCCCTTGCTTTTCAACATAATGATAAATGACCTTCTTTGCATTTGGGAGAGGGGGTTGTTTGCTATGCAGATGACATTACTCTGATTGGGGTAAATGATAACTTTAATGTCCTGCAGGGCACTATGTCTCAGGCTCTCCAAATGGCCTCGGCGTGGTTCCGAGCTAACTTTCTCTTCCTGAATGAGAGTAAGACTCAGTCCATAATATTTAGTCTTAGACAGCATAAGCAAGATGTCATAAGCGTTAAACTACTTGGATTAATGTTGGATCCTAAGCTGGATTGGAATAGTCACATATCTTTAGTATGTAGTAGACTTTCCAGGGTTATTCACTTGCTCAGGAACTTGAAGAACTCTGTACCCACTGAATGGCTAAGAACTGCCTACCTTGTTTTTTTTCAGAGCATAATTCTTTATGGTTTAAGACTTTGGGTGGCACTCCGGGAGTCGAGAGGGTTTTGACGCTCCAAAAGGCGACAGTCAGAATCTTGGCAGGTGCTGATTTTCTAGACCACTGCAAATCTATCATTATTTCTGAATCCGTTATGACAGTGTACAGTTTATTTATTTACCAATCTCTTCTGTATACTAAGCAGGAGTCAGGCTCTCTCGAACTCCGAAGTGATATCCACCCTCAAAATACTAGGAGGAAGGACAACTTGAATGTACCCTATGTTAGATTAAGAAAGGTCCAATCTAGCTATTGTATACAGAGATACAAGTTGTTTAACAAACTCCCTTGTACAGCTCGGAACCTGTCGGAAGAAAATTCAAAAAGGGGATGGAATCTCTTCTGTTGGCAAATCCGATTTACTCATCAAACGAGTATTTTGAAATTTCACCTGGCCAAGTAAGTAAGTTTTTTAGCCAATGAGTGCCAATGTGTGATGATAAAAAAGTTTTGTTTTTGTTTTTCAATTCTCTGCATGGTGTGTTGCAGGCTTAGGCTAAGATTGATGTAGCCTATTGACGTTTCCTTGTACATATTATGCTTTCAAGAAATAAATCATTCTCATATTCTCATTCTCTCATTCTCATTGCCCTAGGGAAGTAGCTATTACCGTAGGTGGAATATTAAGACCCAGACCCAGGACCTATATACTTTTTTTATTTTTATGTCCCTAGCCGCCAAAAGCACTATTAGCTTACAAATAAGTTCACAAATCAGAAGACGGAATGAGACCAATTGTTTCATGCATTAATTCTCCGACTTATCTACTCTCAAAATGGTTAGTACCTAAATGGTTAGTAGAAAATCTAAAAATTTTAGAACCATTTCCCTCATCTTATCTTACTAATATTATAAATGTAAAAGTTTGTGTGTTTGATTGTTTGAAGTTCAATCACGCAATAACTACTGGACGGATTGGGCTGAAATTTGGCATGATGATGGCTAACACTCCCCATTAACATACCGTATAGGCCTATTCTTATCTCAAAAAAATTCCTATTCTTTCAGGGCCAAAAATTATAGTAACCCTTTTTTACCCCATAAAACCTCCAATAAAACCCTGTTCCTACGTAATATTAAACGTAGAGGTTAACTGTAAGATAGGACCATGAGGTCCTAAGTTCGCCTCAATAAAGAAGGATTTTCATTTCATTTCGTTTTGTTTCTTTCATTTCATTTCCATTTCATTTCATTTCCATTTCCATTTTCATTTTCATTTTCATTTTCATTTTCATTTTCATTTGATTTCATTTCCCATAGTCCGATCATGCTGGTTTGCGCGCTCATTCTAGTTTATCCTGCTCTACACCTTCAAACCAAATTTTATCAAAATCTAACCAAAATTACTCAAGTTATTGTGTTCACAGACACATCTTATGTACGTATGAAAGAGGATGTTTGGTTTGTATAGGTACCGGTAGCCTATTTGTTTGTAGGCCTATATACAGGGTGGGGCAGGGTCATCCCTAATTTTGAAAGTGCATTAAAAGATAACCAAAAATGTTAGAATCAAACTTCATATTGTGATTAAAAGGTTAGATCTGGGAGTTTATTTTAATATAACTTTAGGCTACTTGATTTTAAACAGCATATCCTGCAAGTGGTGTCACTAATCATAAATGCACTGCTACCTTCTAGTTCTGGAGTTCCAGTTCAACATAACTCTGTGAAGCATTATTTGTTGTGGGATGCGGCCAACTTCAAGGCAAATTGCAACCTTCAATTCGTAGGCCAGTTTCTTAACTAAGCTACGCTGATATCGATTGAAAATGTCAATTAATAATTGACATATTTAACTAAGTATATCAATTATAAAATGAAACTGTCATAACCTAACCTCACTAACCAAACTTGCTGGAAAGTTAAAAAATTGAATTAAGGTTTTCAAATTGAATCGATAGCTTCAATGGATACTAGCGTAGCCTAGTTAAGAAACTGTACTCGCAAAAAGAAAAACATTATTCAATTCCATGTAAGTAAGTTTCCATGTGGCTTCTAGTCGATAATATGGAAGTAACTTAAAAGCAATAAACTTAAGCTTCTCACTTCCACCTTGGAATCGATGAGATATCACTGTTTAGAGTACCAGTATGCCTGATAAAGCGTCAGTAGGAATTTGGTTAACTTTTTATCAGTCAAAAGAAAATCTCACACTGGTTATGGTTTGGCTACAGGGTAGGGCTGGATTTTACCTATTTTTACCTAATGTCCCTTACCTTGAGATCTGAGGTTTCCTCTTCAATCTGTCCCTCACTAATGCTTGAATTAACACCAGAATCTTCTAGTTTTGCCGATGAATATTTTTGATACCACCATGTAATAATAATGGATAAAACTGTTATTAAAACACTCGCAATATAATAAACTGACAAATTAATATTGTGTATTGATAAATTTTCAAGTATTGAATTATTAATCATTCTATAACGTAGGCCTAATGTTAAAATAATATGTTTTATTTGATCAGAGTAAATAATTTCTGGCAAGTGAAAATTTGAAAATAACTCGGTAAAATAAACATTAGGCCTATATTTGCGTTAAGTACTGTGTGACTGTGTGATGTGAGTGAAGACTGAAGTGAAGAGTGAAAGTTGAATGAATGAAAGTGAAGCTCAGACAGACGACAGAAGCAAGCAGATGCTAGCTATAAAATAAATAAACAAAGAACAAAAAAAGTCAACAACAACAAAACTAACTTAGCAGAAATATAGAAAAACACAAACATATGACAGCAAAAAAGCGCTTTACTCTTTTCTAATTGTCAGCAGGCAATAACATATACCATGAAACTTAAGAACATGCAGGTATGTAAGTAGGTAGGTCTCATGGTCTAATTAATGCAGGTTCATGGTGGAAGTTCCACCATGAATGCAGCAATGCAGGTAGTAATTAGCATAGACTAACCAATACTAACTTAGGTTGCCTTGGTACATGCAGTTGTCTGCTTGCAATATTGAGTGGAGCTAGCATATTATTGAAAGTTATTATTAATATGTGCAATATAAATAAATGCTATTACCATTACTGAACAATTAAAAAGCATTCTACATTTTTTGGCCTCTGGGTCTGGTCCCCTTTTTACTTTCTCCCCCTATACATAGTATATGGTGAAAGTATTGTTTTCGTCAAAAATTTTGAGTTTGAGCTTTGAGTGGATATATCCGTTTTGGGTCCCCCTGGACCCCCAAAAGATGTTTTCACCACACTATGATGTTTTTAGCTGTTTTACATACGTAAATTGGTGGCTGAAAGTTACGATTTGCTGGCCATGCCAGCTCTGTCATCGTCTTTGGGGACCGAGCAGGTTTTTACATCCCTAGGGTCGCAAAATCAGCTGCCCACTTACTTTCTTAAAACATGAATGCATATTAAATACACAATCAGTATCCATAGCATTGCAATTGAATTTTTTTATTGTCACCGCTGCCTAGCAACTACTGTATTTATTATTTTTTTTGCTAATTCCTCAAATTATTTCTTCACATAACCTTTAAGTTGTAGTTGTGTTGACTGTTAGTGTAAATTATTATTGTGTGGAATAGTGGTAATAGGGTATAGTGTGGTGAAAAAAAAGCATTCGTAGGTCTACCACGGGCCGAAATGGTTTTGTAGCTCTCGATCGATTTAAGTTCTCGACTAATATGTTATGGGCCTTATAATTCGAAACAAAATAACGCAACCCCCATTACTGTAACAATTACGGTTCAAAAGTTAATGCAACTTTTGTGATTTCTTCCTACAATATTACCATAGTTACTCCCACCAAACGCTTCCTCTACACCACCGAGGCCGATGACTCAATACCGTATCGTTGCGGTAATGGTGTTCCCTCAAGAGAAGAGATCTGACAGCTGACGTCATCGAAGGCTCTTCTATACCTACCTTGAGTAAATACCGTGAAAAGTCGTCATATAAACAACTAACACTAACTTCCAAATCAACTGATATGCGGACGTGTGTTAGGTGTGTAGCCACTAGCCAGAAGGTGAGTCAGCCATCTGTATGGTCAGACAGGCCTAAGAAGGCACTTGGTAGATTAGGTAAATAGATAGAAAGCACTCTACTATTTTCGTAATAAATAACATATACGTAAATGTGTACCTTAGGTACGATCAGGGCAACTCTCATGTAGCTGGTGTTTCGGTGGTAATGTTTGTAAAACGGATTTTTCACCCGTAATAATCCCACTTTCCTTAACCGTCCATACCGAGCAAAAGAGTGCATTCAAGCAAAGACCCAACTAAAAATCACACAATCGACAACCAGAACCGGTAAACCGCAACTGACAAAACAGTCGCAGAGACAGTTAAACGTGGTTATAAGCACAATGGAATTAATGCGGTTACGTCAATAAAACGTTATTCTACATGCACGGCATTTGTTCAAATTCAAATCTCTTTATTTTTGACAGTGAGAAAGTGCATATAATTGCATCAATAAGTATTTTCCATAAAACTAGTAAAACAACAGATTCTTATAGACAAAATATAAAAATACAAATCATTAATTGTTACAGTAATATAAATCACAACAGACATCATAAAAAGTTCACGGCACTGTAGCAACATCGTCATCGTGACCAAAGAAGAGTCCCATAATAGTGTCCTTTACCAAATTTTTCCGCATGCTGTAGTCCTGTAGTTTCTATCTCCAGAGGAACTGGTAGTGCATTGAACTGTTTAATGCCATTGTAAAATAAATGGTTTAAAAAAAATCTATGTTTTAGGATGTCTAATATTGAATCGGCTTCTTATCTCAATGTCTAGGTAAGTCTGAGGTAAACCGCAGGAGATAGAGTGAGACAGATTTTGGAACAGGTCAACATTTTTCTGAACAAATACGAGACGGTTCAAGTTATACATGTACGGAAAAGTAAGAACTTTATTCTTAACAAAGGTTTTTTACAGGAAAATTTACGACGCTTCTTAAAAACTGTTCTGATGGTTTTCTTTTGCAATTTTAAGACTCTTTTAAATCACTCATGTCCCCAAATCGCAGCTGCGTATGATAGAAGAGGTAAAAATTCGTAGTAAGCCTCTACTAGTACTTTTCTTTTATCCCAAAAATTTAGGATTTCTGGACAAACAGATTTTATATTTCAGAAAAGTATTTTTCAATAATATTATGGAATTGAGTCGTATATCAATGTTTCGCCAGATTTTATATGGTATTATATCAATATCATACTACTGGCTTTCAAACATCCAACCCCTTTTGATTACCATCTCATTCTCGTGAATCATGATTGGTCTCTAAACAAAGCGAATGTCAAATTCCCTCTAAAATGCCATGTTTGAATTTGCCGCTGAAAATATTTTCGAACAAATTAACGTCTAGAAATCAATTATTACTAGTTTTATTTACTGAAAACTTAAAAAAATTTTTTATTCATCTATATAAGATGTTTGAACTTAAATCTTCAATTCTTACAATTAAAAATCAACTAAGGTGTAAGTTATTTTTTTTTGTAATTGGTGCTAGCCTATACTTATTCGTGAAGGACACGGACATGTTTATGAGTTTATGTTATTTTCCCTCTAGTTTTCTTTCTTTCATCGTTTCATTTCATTCCATTGGCATCAACGACACGTTGTATGCACCATTTGTTTAATTTAGCTACCAAAACTAACAGTTCCTTTTCATTTAGTTTCTTTTTCTTACTATTACATCCTTCGTTAATTATACAAAATCATGCCAAACGCTACTGTTGAAATGTACATCCCCAACAAGGAAAATGCTAATCTAACAGAAGACTGTGAAATGCCTCTCTCAACAAAGAAGGTACGTAGTTGAGCAGAAAGGAATGGCAAATTAAGTCAAAAGATTCAAGTCAAGCAATATTACTTTTTTAATGCTGTAAACTTAAATACCATACTTTGCATTGTTTCAGGTGGACCCAACCTTCAGTCCTAGTAAGAGTGTGGCCAGTCTTGCCCTGAGAGACACCACAAACATTATTAAGACAGACAAAACCAATGTAAGTAGCCTAGGAAAGTTGTAGTTTTGTAATCAAGTGTCCTGGTCTATAGGCCCTAACCTTTGTGGTTTCTGATTTATTTAACATAGCCTAAGTTACTTGTACAGTAGTAAGCCCGTTCGTAGTAAGCTTCGCACCTTGGTTGTCATCTTGTACTTCTATCTTCATTCAAGTATCTATCTTCATTCGTTCAAGTGATCCTTGTCCATACTCTCGTTGTGTTACCACCTAGGCCTAGTAAGTTACAGAATGGGCGCCATTCTTATTAGGCCTAGTTATTAAAAGTCGCCAAATATAGGCCTTAGTGTTGATTTTAGGAAAGTTCAATGTACTTTCTTATTGCACGGAGGCCACTTATTTTACAGTGCGCTGCGGCAGTTAGGTTAGGTTGGGTTATCATACTTTAATACTCTTCGGTGAAATGGCAACCATACAAAGTAGGTAGGGCCTAAATATGTTTGTAGGACTATTCTTGTTTTTTTATGTATCGAACGATACCAGATGAGTCATACAAAATCATGATAACCTAACTGCTGTAACACGCTGTATAGGCTAAGGGTTGCCTCCCGTATAATACGAAAGTACCAAGTTCAATTAATTCTAAACTCTTGTTGCTCGGGCAGGGGATTAACCCAAACCTCTCTTACCTTACCCTCACCACTAGGCTGCACAGCCTACCCATTTCTTCTCGTCCAGGCTGTAATGAATTTGTTCAGGCGATGAGCGCATTTATTGTACATTGTTATTAACTTAATAGGGTCGATTTAACTACTTAAACAACACTTTTTTACTGTACGACAAATGACAATTCTTTATTGCACATAACATCTGATTCAATTATTACAAACGTAATACACAGGCAGGTACATTGTCAAGGTTTCTAATAAATAAGGAATTCTAAATATATAAAAAACCTAAGATTTAGCCAGGAAGATACCCCTACAAAAGCTACAACATGGTGGAACTGATTATGTTAGGAGAGGTTGATAAGAGAATGGGTGTCTGTTACCAGGAGTCATTGAAAAATTCCTTGAGAGTGTAATATGCTTTTTCTATTAAATTCCATGTTGATGGCCCCTGGATTACTTTATATGACTATAATAATGGTACTATACCTCGTCAAGTAATCCAAATGTTGTTTGAGGTTAACAACCTACATGTTTCTAAACTAAACACGTTAGAGGAGTTTGAAATTTACAAATTGTACCACGACAACACTGCCAGTGGACATATCCTCAACGAAAAACTGCAGTTCCAGTCACACTCTATTTTCAATGTGCTAATTCACCAAAATAACCGGCCACCTGACCTTTGTCCTACTGATAACATGGACAACAACGAGGAAGGAGTCTGACACTGCAGTCTACTACCTGCGCCGGGACCGTCCGTGTCGTGTGCGTGTGATAGGCCTATCAATGTCAATTAAATGATTACTTTGTCTTTCTGTAAATGTTCGTATTCGTGTATTTATTGTGTGCGTGTGACATCGATGTCTTCGTTTTTGTAACCCTGACGATGCCGTATTTACGGCGAAACATGTAGGTTGTTAACCTCAAACAACATTTGGATTACTTGACGAGGTATAGTACCATTATTATAGTCATGCTTTTTCTGTTAAAAC